CAAGCGGAAAGAGGGCACACATCCCTGACCAGCAGTAAAGGGGGCAATCACCACTGACCAGCAGTAAAGGGGGCAATCACCACTGACCAGCAGTAAAGGGGGATCACACACCTGACCAGCAGTAAGAGGACCCACATAACTGTCCAGCAGTAAAAGGGACACACACCACTGACCAGCAGTAAAAGGGGCATCACGCACCACTGACCAGCAGTAAAGGGGGCACACAGACCACTGACCAGCAGTAAAGGGGACACACAGACCACTGACCAGCAGTAAAGGGGGCACACAGACCACTGACCAGCAGTAAAGGGACACATTCACCACTGACCAGCAGTAAAGGGACACATACCACTGACCAGCAGTAAAGGGGGCACACGCACCACTGACCAGCAGTAAAGGGGGCACACACCACTGACCAGCAGTAAATGGGGCACACACACCAGTGACCAGCAGTAAAGGGGGCACACACACCAGTGACCAGCAGTAAAGGGGGCACACACACCACTGACTAGCAGTAAAGGGACACACAAACCACTGACCAGCAGTAAAGGGGGCACACACACAACTGACCAGCAGTAAAGGGACACACAAACCACTGACCAGCAGTAAGGGAGGCACACACACCATTGACCAGCAGTAAAGGGACACACAAACCACTGACCAGCAGTAAAGGGGGCACACACACCACTGACTAGCAGTAAAGGGACACACGCACCACTGACCAGCAGTAAAGGGGGCACATTGCAGACCAGCAGTAAGAAATGCATATAGTCAAACAGTAGTAAGTGAGCACACATTTCAGAAAAGCAATAAGGTTGGTCAGTCCAGCCTGTGAAAGAAAACAGTGTTGCACTGCCTGCATCTCCAGTCTCACTCTCAGCCATTCAGTGGAAGGATACAAGTGTTCTCCTACAGCCCAGTGACCCCATCACCAGTCTCTCTGATCACCAGCACACACGGCACTGACAAGCTGCACACTCAGTGCTGTCATGTGGCTGCAGAGGAGAAGCCAGCTCAGGGGTACTTCTTGGATGCCCAAGGGGCCTGAGAGAAGGGACAGATGCAGCACCAGTCACCCGTGAGTGTGCTAACCCTCCTCCCCATGCCTGCGCCTGATATCATGAATGCATGCCCAGGTCACCTATCTGCAGCTTTCAACCTCAGGCTAGAGAACACTACAACTTCCAGCTTGGTCTCCAGCCTTCAGTGCTCTGGCTTAAGCAGGGCCCCATGGCTACCCCTGTGAGCCTGATAGCTTTTGTCCAGTTTTCAACTACCATGAAACCCGGGCACAGCACTCTAAAACCCGACTGTCCAGGTGAATCCCGGACAGGTGGCAACCCTGGCTCTGAGTGTGTGTAGGCTGCCATTGCTGGCCTGCCTAAGAGAGAGTTTTTTGCAGTCTGTTACTGGCTATTTTTGAGGTTCAGACTTAGATCTATAGAGTAGCAGTATGGAATGTAGTAATGGAAGACTGATGAGGCAGAGACACAGCAGTATAGAATATAGTAATGAAGACTGATGAGGCAAGGACACAGGACTAGAGAGTAGCAGCAGTATAGAATATAGTAATGAAGACTGATGAGGCAAGGACACAGGACTAGAGAGTAGCAGCAGTATAGAATATAGTAATGAAGACTGATGAGGCAAGGACACAGGACTAGAGAGTAGCAGCAGTATAGAATATAGTAATGAAGACTGATGAGGCAAGGACACAGGACTAGAGAGTAGCAGCAGTATAGAATATAGTAATGAAGACTGATGAGGCAAGGACACAGGACTAGAGAGTAGCAGCAGTATAGAATATAGTAATGAAGACTGATGAGGCAAGGACACAGGACTAGAGAGTAGCAGCAGTATAGAATATAGTAATGAAGACTGATGAGGCAAGGACACAGGACTAGAGAGTAGCAGCAGTATAGAATATAGTAATGAAGACTGATGAGGCAAGGACACAGGACTAGAGAGTAGCAGCAGTATAGAATATAGTAATGAAGACTGATGAGGCAAGGACACAGGACTAGAGAGTAGCAGCAGTATAGAATATAGTAATGAAGACTGATGAGGCAAGGACACAGGACTAGAGAGTAGCAGCAGTATAGAATATAGTAATGAAGACTGATGAGGCAAGGACACAGGACTAGAGAGTAGCAGCAGTATAGAATATAGTAATGAAGACTGATGAGGCAAGGACACAGGACTAGAGAGTAGCAGCAGTATAGAATATAGTAATGAAGACTGATGAGGCAAGGACACAGGACTAGAGAGTAGCAGCAGTATAGAATATAGTAATGAAGACTGATGAGGCAAGGACACAGGACTAGAGAGTAGCAGCAGTATAGAATATAGTAATGAAGACTGATGAGGCAAGGACACAGGACTAGAGAGTAGCAGCAGTATAGAATATAGTAATGAAGACTGATGAGGCAAGGACACAGAACTAGAGAGTAGCAGCAGTATAGGATATGGTAATGGAGGAGTGATGAGGCACGGACACAGAACTAGAGAGTAACAGCAGTAAAGAATATAGTTATATAGTCCCCACCAGCCTGGCTTGTGCCATCACAAGCCAAGGCACCACCACCAGTCGCGACCAGCTCAATGCAATTCTGCAAATCTAAATTAAAAATGTCTAACGCTACATCAGGGAGATGTACCCCGTCCTAGCGGTAAAAACCCCCTAAACCACCCTCCAAATCCCTATGTCTAAAGGAAAACCCACCCAAAATGGCATAAATTTCTCCAGTGCTCTGTTCAAGCGCTTACGAATCTTCTCAAATGGGCGACCTGTCACAGATGACAACCAAACCCTTCTAGGTACTATTTCGGAAAAAACAAAACAAGTACAAGGCAATGCTCTTCTTAAATCAGTTAATTCCCTTTTCATTTGAAATAACAAATCTAAAGTACCTACTTGACCTATATCATTACCCCCTAAATGAATTACCAATATATCGGGAGTAGGCCAGCAATGCAATAAATTCTGCAAAACTAGCAGTAACTAACACCACTTTAAGCCTCTAATCCCCTTCCAGAACACACAAAAATTGTCTTTCGGCATACTCAAATTTTCCGAATAACATCGATGAGCCACTCGGTTCTGTGCCCAAAATACAAATGAATGTGCAACGATCCAGACTACAGACCTCCGTCCTGAAAATCAAAGAGATAGATTAGGGCGCACATATATACTAAATCTGTCTGAACCCCACCGTCCAATTCTCTTAATAAGAGATTCAGCGAGACCCAATCTAGCCGCCTCAGTAGCCGCCCCGATCCTAAAAGAATGGGACGAA